ACGAGGTTGGGATCCTTTGCCACTGCGGAAAACAAAGAGCGAGGGATATAATGAGTCAAGAGTTTGGTTTGGTTTCATGATTTTGCCATTTGTATGAAATACAATACATTGAAATACAATTTCCGGTTTGGTGGAATCCAGAATGCCTTGCCCCAAGTATTGCGTAGCACTTACTGTAACAGACGGAATGTAATGAAAGAACTGGCCTCCTGCACTCATCCCACGAAAGGTGTTTAATTGTGGGAGTAAATACTGTAACTTTCTCTTAGGTTGGAGGCCATCGTTACTAGGGTGGAGGCCATCGCTACTGTATTAGGTTGGAGGCCATTACTACTAGTAGCAAGAAGCTACTAGGTTGGAGGCCATCGCTGTTAGAATGATAATCTATCAGAGAATGACATATAACTCTTAAGTGGGATGTTTTCGTGAGGAGCTTATCATGGTTTATCCAAACCTTCCGAGGTGCAGAAGCTACACGGGCCAAACCCGCACCCAGTTCAGCAAGCCTTGATGCTGTTGGAAAGTGTTTTTGCACCTGCTGAAGCTCAAGAGGACAGAAATTTGTGTGTTTAGTATTATTGTTTTTAATAGCTTCTTGTTACTAGAAGCTTTGCACTTGTTTCTAATTAATAGCTTCTTGTTACTAGTAGTAAGGCACCTGTTACTACTAGTAAGGCACTTGTTCCTAGTATTTCTTTTGAGAGCCTGCTGCAGATGATGCTGCAGCCTGCCGGGGCTTCTGCCTTTTGCTTGGCAGGAAGCCTGCTGGCGGCATTTGGAGATTTGCACAGAGCTCTTTGGCGCTGAATCTCGCTGTGCCAAGTGGGCGCGTGAGCTGTGTCAAAGCCAGACCGCCCAGAACCGAAGAGAAAACTGTAGAAGATTCTGAACAAGAAGAGTTACTAATAGCTTTTGTTACTAGTAGTAAGGCACTTGTTACTAGCAGCGATGCACTTGTTTCTAATAGCTTCTTGTTTCTAATAGCTTTTGGTTACTAGTAGTAATGCCCTTGGTACTGGTAGCGCTGCACTTGTTACTAGTATTTTCTTGTTACTCGTGTGCAATGGCCATTTCCAGTCATTGATCAATGTCCTCAGTTGCTGAAAGGTCCAGAAATATGCGCCGATGAACTTCGTGTCTTGGTGTCACAAGGCACACCAGGTTTCAAGAGAATTTAATGGACATCTCTAAGGCCTTCATGCACCAGCTTGTCAAGACCTCGAAGAAGGTAGAACAATGCTGGGCGCCTCCAGAAATCTCATCATGAAGGCCACCATGTCCTTGCGCTGTATTGTCGATCCGTCTCTTCTGTTTGTGGTGGGATGGGTTCCCTATCACTGTCGCTCTATCAAAGTGAAGTTTGGCCAGCTGTTGAACACGTTCCTTGATGGCGTTGGATGCTTTGAGACGGATGAGTGTTGATGTTGCACCCACCCTTTGCGAATGCTGTCGCCTGACATAGCGAATGGGTTTAGACAACGTTGCAAATTTCTTTTGGCATTAGAACTTAAACTCGTGGAAGTCCATAGCTGTGGACTGTTTGTGTTCTTGCTTGTCTTCCAAGCACGGTGCAGAGTCTTACCTCTTGTCCGCCACGATGCCTTCATCGCTCACAACCGCCATAACCATACGAGTTGTTCCTGGTGTGGTGAGACTCCTTGAAGCTGTCGCGGTCTTGAACCAAGAAAGAATGGACAGAAAGAAGGGATTGAAGGTAGAACTTGTAGAACATGAAAAAAGAGCAAGCATTCAGACAACATATTGATGTAACGCCTTGGCGCAGGCTTACGCGAGGCATTTCTCGAAGCTGATGCCTTAGATGACAAAATCTTTGCGCTTTGCGGCTTTTTGGCGCCGTGCAGATTTATGACAAGAAGAACTTTTGTACCCTTTGAGTGTGCATGTTTTCCAAAAGTGTTACCTTCCGCAGTTGCCTTCTCTCTACACATGCTTCAACACGTTCAAACATCCCTTGTTATTCTGAACAGTAATTACTAAAGCTCACATGGCAACAATAAACCGAATAAACCTCCCCCTAGAGCCCTAGAGAAGAAAAGTGCGGCCACAAATTTGTTGGTCGTAATAGTCTAATTTGTTTGTTAGTTGTCCTTCCATTAATCTGCTGTGCTCAGCAACTTGTTGCTGGCCTCAAGTTCACTCAGCTGGGCCGAAACTCGCAAACCCAGCATCCATTGCACGTCCGCTTCAGCGCAGTGCAAATCCCCGGCCACACAATCGCATTACATGCCACCGCGTTACACAGCACTGCAAAACACATTGTATGACCACACTGCACTCAATACTGGTGTTGGCAATGTTTCACGTTGAAGAATCCCACAGGCAATGGAGGCTGCAAAGAAGAGGCGCCTGTGGAAGTAATTTGGTGTGTTTCTTCAGCCGACTTTTTTGTTTTTGTTTATATACATTTTTTTTGTGTGTGGCATGGCTTCAGACAGACAACTAGCTTACTTTTTGTGATTCTGTCCAGTTGTTTGCCAGAAGGTGCAGAGTTCATTGCTTGCTCCTGAGAGAAAATGGATGAAAATGGCGCGCCTGCATGCTGCTGTTGAACATTCGTTCGTTTGCCTCAGCAATGCCAGGAGCTACTAGTAGCGTCCTTGCTCCTAGTGGCGATGCCAGGAGCCCCTAGTAGATTCTTGTTACTAGTAGCGATGCCAGGAGCTACTAGTTGCGTCCTTCATGGTTACCCATTTCCTGGTCACACACAAGCCGCGGAGATTTTGAGCGAACTGCGAGAGGCACAGAGTCGATTGGAAGCTGGGACCCTTGCACGGGCCACTACCTCAGTCAGAGGTCAATTGAACCTTTCGTCAAGGGTGACACAATCTGCGGCTGCATCGACACCCCAAATGCCCACGGCCTTTCTGCTAGGAACAAAGGGCATCGCTACTAGGAGCAAAGACATTACTCGGGGCTCCTGGCCTTACTACTAGAACAAGAAGCCACTATTAGTCCTTTCTTCCTTTGCTTTTTTCTTTGTTTGTAAAGATGGTGATAATACCCTAGTAGCGATGGCCTCCAACCTAATAGGACCTAATAGCGACGGATTTGCTGGCTTGTCCAGAGATTCCTTCGATGGCCTCCACCCTTGTAGCCATCATCAACTCTTTCATGTGCTTCAAGCGAGCCTCCATTTGGACGATTTGTGATTTCTCATTGCAGAGACGGGCAACTTCCATCCTCCAAGATCAAGAGAGAACTCCGGGTAGCCTTCCTCATGGTGTCCTCCTTGCTTGCTGGAACCCTGGACAGGTGCACCGAAGTGGAATGTTTGTCTTTTTGGCCTTCACCAGCTCTGACGACGAGTTGGTCTCCAACAAAGTAGGCAGCAGATTTTTGGCCGCTGTGGAAAGAAGAGGCTGCTGTCGGTCTGCAAAGCTGAAGCAGCTCTTGTGAGCCCTTTGGATGCTGCACCTGCCTGTATAAATTGCTCCTGGTCGGCTCCCAGTCCCTGTTTTGTCGTTCGTGGTCCACCAGTTGCAGCTTGTAGATTTGAAACAATGACCATGAGAGACTTGTGTGGAGCCAATTGCCAAGCTGAGTTACTGCATGACCTGTCTTGATTTCAATATCTGGACATGCTTCGGTTCCACAAAGATCCACAAGAATGTTGCGCAAGTGACCAAGTACTGGCCAACGTAGCTTGGTCAAAGAGCATGCCTGAGTCAAGCGACCAAGCAAGTTCTTGGTTGTAATGCGTTAAGCTGTATGTTTGTACATGGTGCAATGCATCAAGAGAGCCAGCTGGCGCTGCACAACACAGGCGATGAATGCAGATCCTGATTGCGAAGGTAGCAATCTCCACAAAGGATGCCATTCATTCGCTTCCACAAAAGAATCGGGAAAGCAATCTGCTGTCCCGGATTGAAGAACGTGTGCACGGTTTCAGTTTCGTAGCGGGCAGAGGACAAGGGACTGTGTGGAGATTTTGTGGCACAGGAGGCCGCGCCGCCACAATTCCAGGCAGGTGAATCCTTGGGAGACAGCGTCGGCCCAACCCCCAAGCGGACACACCCAAACACTGCTTCACAACTCAGATGCACAAGTGACCAGCGGCCGATGGGGCCACATTTCAGAGGTTGGAGGCCATCGCTCTTAGGTTGGAGGTCATTGCATTAGGTTCCGTAAAGTTAGTTTCCTCTATTTTTCCTTTGCAGACCTTTCCCATTTTTCCATGTTTTCCTCCGCTACTAGGGGCTCCTGGCATCGCTACTAGGAGCAAGGACGCTACGAACGGGGCTTCGTTTCCGATCTTTCCCCAGCTGGAGCTGAAACATTCAGGTGCATGGCCTGCGAACGGCTGGAACCCAAGCGAACGACAAGAAACCACACCGGGCCCAAACCGAATCGGTTGCTTCCAACCGAGTATCCAAGCTGTGTGGCCACGACATGTTGGACACTCAAGTCGATGTCTTTTCTAAGGTTCTGCAAATGTGTGGTCTAATATTCGATATGTTTGGTTGCTGGACGTTTTGAGAATGCCCCTTCTCTCCGCAATGGCATCCTGGATATTAGCTGTTTAAGTAGTTCAATGCCCCTCATCGGATTCCACAAGGCTGCGGTTCTGAAGGGGTGTAACAAGCCGAGGTGGCGGAGTTGAATGGAAGCACGGTTCACTTGCATAAATGGGACGTCGTGGCGCAGCGCTGGATCGTCAGCTTGCATGGGGCCGAGACGTTTGTGGAAAACTTCAAGTTTCAAGCAATTTTTGAGTTACTGTACCAATAGTGTCAATAGGGATGGGGTCCCAGTATAGTCGCTATACAGGTACATGCCATATACTTTTGGCTCAAGTGCCCAACCAGGTAAAAAGGAGCTTTAGCGCGCGAGCTTCATGTTGACCTAAGAGCTAGAACGGGGCCAGGGCACACCTTTCCATCCGTTCGCAGGTTATCAGCCGTATCCAGACTACTTTGAGCTGGGTACGAGCTGCGGCCTTACACAACACTATCTAAACGCACACGCATCGGATAGATCAGTTACCCTCAGTCACTGAAGATGGACCAATCCGACGCCAGCACTGCATCTTTTGGAGCAGCTGCTGCAGCCGCAGATCGGATGAGTGCATCCCACAACTCTAGTCCAGGCACGATCGAAGTGGAGACTCTGACAGCGGTGAGAGAAGATGCGACAGGTAGAGCACGAAGTCGTTCCCCGTCAGCGCACTCGACACCACCGTGGGGGACACCGAGATCAGGCCGTAGCCCTAGGGAGACAAGGAGGAGGACTGACACCGGAGCTGTGAGAGTGTTAGCATTGCAGGATGGGTCAGCTGTACCAGTGCCGTCGGACAGCGAAGCTGGAGATCGAGCAAGGACAAGCACTGACAACCTACAACTAGCACGGGCCGATGGAGACCTGAATGCGAAGTGTGCGCAACTACTTGCCGAAGTGCATATGTTGAACCACCAAAACGCATGGATGGTCGAATGCGAGCAGAGACAGAACCAGATTATACAACACGAGACCGAAGTCCACGAAGTAGTGATGGCACACCTCGAAGAATGTTATGTCGAAGGATATGGAAATCAACGAAGAATCACCCAACTTACAGAATCCAGAGACTGTTTGCTCTCAGCAGCACACGACCTGCAATACCAGATGGACACTGATCGTGTGGCAATGCGGGATCGTCTCACCCAGTTAGGGGAGTACGCTGATCGCAACAGCGAAGAGATGGTTAGTCAAGTTGTGAACATCGGCACGGAAGAGATCCAGGCTATATCGGCAGAAAGAGATCGAGCCGTAACCGAGGTCATGACTACAATCGCAGATGCTGAGAACGTCAAGGATCTGTGTAGACAGGAGTTAGTTGGACTACAAAGGCAGAGTGCCAGAAACAAACACGAATATGCTGAAGAGATGAAGATGAGGGAAGCAATGTATGCAAGCAAGATCAAATGGTTATCAGAAGAGAATGAGGAGCTCAACAACCGATCTAATACTCAGGACAAGTTCATCTTGAGCATCAGAGAGCAATTGAAGAAGGCGAACGAGGAGTTGACTCAGACGAGGATTCAAGGATCCGATCGACCGTTTCAACCATCCAGCGCCGAACTCAAGAAGGCCGAAGTCAAGGTGAACATGTTGGAAGAGGACATTCTACGTAAAGAGAGGATGCTGAAACGTCTTCAGGAAGAATTGATCGAATCAAGCGCAAGTGAAGCACAATTGAAGGTCGCACTGAAGTTGAAACCACCAGACATGGGATCAGAACCCAGTGTGGAGAATGAGATGATGACCAAGCTTAGAGCGGAACTCGAACGTACTGAAAAGTTATTAAGGTCCGAGGAGAAAGAGGCAATTGAGTACTATGAAGGTATGATGCAGAACCAACAGGACATGATGGAATTCGAAGCGCATGCATCACGGCTCAGAGATGAGAGGAATAAGTACCGGAAGAGGTACGAAGAGGAGCGCACAAGTGCAGAGAATGCAGCCGCAACCGAACATGGTGCCGCTTCATCCTCTAGCTCAGGCGGCTCCAAGATATCTCGGAAGGAACACGAGAAGATCAACATCCCTGCATGGCCCAAGATACACGACCTGGAGGTTTGGAAATCCCAGGTTGTAGCGGCAGTCGTGACGGCATCGGGCGACGAGAAACAAGAAGACTGGATCCAATGGCTCTCGGATGCCTTCAGATCACCATATGACCCATTTCTACTCGAGACATCAGGCGAAGCAAGGTTCGCTAGCATAGATGCTAAGCTAGGTATCACCCTACATACGATCATCCACGCAGCAGGTGAGAGATCTCATGACGTACAACTGAAGGTGAGGCAGATGATGCAGAGACGTGCGAGAGGCACAACTCCTGGAATGGTCAAGGGACGAGAAATGTTAGCGTTGATCGTCGATAGTTTCCGGAGTGCCGACAACGTTGATGTGATGTATGCATCCAAGCACTTATTCGATCTAAAGTTCCCTGGGGATAATCAACTATCCAGATTCCTTGGACAGTGGGATGAAATCATATCAGGTATGGATGCGGATGACATGCTTCCTGACAAAGCACTTCGCAACCTGCTTTGGGATAAGATTAAGGATTCCAAAGTTATGGCGTTAGACTTGTCTGTGTACGACAACATGTTGGATAAGGATCCGGATAAGACCTACCAGAAGTTACGAGAGATCATGACGAAGTGGATACGGAAATCAATTGAGACCACAAACAAGAAAGAAAGGGAAAAAGCTTTTGGGAACATCGTGAAAGCCACACCAGCGGCGGAGAAGAAGGACCCTAAAGCGAAACCCAAGAATACCAAGACCGATCCACCGAAACATGACGCCGCTCCAGTACTTCCTCAGGCTAATCCGAAGGACCACAACAAGAAGGACAAGAAGCAGGACCGTGGAAGATCAGCCACGAAGAGCCCAAAAGGGGATCGTGGTAGGTCAGCGACTCCAGCAGATACGTCCAAGATAGGATGCGCTTTCCACTTCCATGGGAAAAACGGATGTTCTAGAGGAGACAAATGCAAGTTTAGTCACCAAGAGAAGCACAAGAGTTCTGCTAAGAAACCAGAAAACCTCAAGGGTGACAGATCAAAGAGTCCCGGTGGCAGGAGCAGTAGCCCTAAGCCAATGAAGGATCAGGTATGTTGGAATTGGCAGAAAGGATCGTGCAAGTTCGGGGACAAATGTCGACGTCAGCATCAAGCTGCTCCTGCTACAAAACAAGAGGCTAGAGGCAAAGCCAAGCCCAAACCGGCTGCGCCAGCCTTCATGCTATGCGGAGACATCGAGAGTGATGACGAGGACGTACAACCCGCACTTCCCAACGTACAACAAGGTAAGCTGGCGCTTCGCTTCAAAGTCAGATTCGATGACCAGGCGAATGTGACCACGTTCACCTGCGATCCTGGTAATGAGCTAAACAACCGTCCCCTCAGGAAGAAGAGGAATGAGGTGCAGAAGGTGGATACCGAGCTCATTTCATCGTTGAGAGCCCTCAGAGTGAGCAACATAGCTGCACGAGTAGCACATGCCAAAGGTAAGATGATGGAGCTATTCTATGCTGAACACATTGCCAAGGCATGGATACAAATCACTCAAGATGAAGGAATCGAGGTTAACGTCGACCTGTCTGATTTCAACACCAGAGAGGTAGTAAGGAAGGATTCTGTCGACTACACGATACCAGGAACCACGATGTTCATGGCTGTGGAGAGGTATGATGGACCACCAATACGCTTCATCATGGACACGGGATGTGGACACGATTTGATCTCAAGAGAGAAAGTCAATGCCATGGGCCTTACCACCAAGGAAGGACCCAAATCCGTGAGCTTCATGACAGCGAATGGTGTAACTAGTACATCAGAGATGGTGGACATCAATGTGGACGAACTACCCATGAGGTCCGAGGCACACGTGTTGGAAAGCACACCATCAGTCTTTTCCATCGGGAAACGGTGCATGGAACAAGGGTACTCATTCATATGGCCGGCAAATCAATTGCCATACCTCATCGACCAGAACACGAACAAGATTCCGCTATCGGTGCATGACAACATACCCTACATCAAGGTGAATGATGATGACGGGAGATGTTTACCAAGACCAGACGGCTTGGCTACGATACTTCATCGCATACTGTCGGGTGTGGGGCATGAAGACGAGGTCACAACAGGTCAGGAGACACAACAAGAGGAACTTCCGCCCAAGAAACCACGGAGACGGAGGAGAAAGAAGAAAGATAACCAGAAAGGTCAGGATGGTGAATCTGATATCAATCCAGCTGTTGCAGGCATCGAAGGAGAACCAGAGGAACACGGTGATGACAGGTATTCTCCTGAAGAGGAATATGACGGGGAAGACCCGAGACTCGATCGTGATCACGAAGGTCAACCTGAAGAAGCCGGGGGCGACGAACATGGAGGTGATGCGGATTCTGAACGAGGGGAGAGTGACATTGATGAAGATGAAGAGGGACTATTGGAAGTCGATGTGGTTGACGGGGAAACCAGACTATCAAAACCAGGAGTGCTGAAGAACGAGGCGAAATCCATATTGCACTTGATGACGCACCGATACAAGAACCCATACTGCAAGTCATGTGTGAGAGCAAAGATGAAGCACTACAAGACTAGCAAGGGAGCTTTCAAACGGAAATTGAAGGCATTCGGTGACCTTATCACTTTCGATCTCATGAACACTCAGAAGATGGCGAGAGACGGGATCATGCCGGATAAGGACATATTGGTGATTCGAGATCGGTTCACTGGTGTGATATGGGGTTATCCATTGAAAGCAAGCAATAGTGACGAAGTGGTGCAGGCAATGAAGCACTATATCGGTAAGAGAAAGGTCACCAACGCTTACTCGGATGATGCGCCACAATTCGAATCAGCACTCAAGGAACTCCGGATTCCACTAGACCAGTCGCTTCCAGGACATCCCCAGAACAATTCACTCGCCGAAAGGAACAATCAGTTCCTGATGCTTACCACATCGACATGCCTTCTAGAAGCCGGACTACCACCATGTTTTTGGCCATTTGCTGTGGAATGCGTAAGCCATTTATTGAACATCGAGAAGCTGAGCGATGGCAGCAGTGCATGGTTGAAATTGCACAAGAGCGAATTCCCAGGCATGGTGATACCACTTGGAGCGAAGGTGTTCTTCAAACCTAGTGATGCGAGAGAAAGAGACCAAG